TAAATGAAGAGAGTTAATACCACCTAACGTAAAAGAAATAAGACCTGGCTTTATTAACGTCCATGCACGCTATTCAGTTTAGCCATATCTCTCTATTACGCTGTTTATTGTTATTTTACGCGAGTTTATTTTTGCGCACAGGAAATTTTACTCGTTTGCACATCGTCATAAAAAACAATTTTCGTACCACGAATTAGGGATAAGATTTTTATCTGTATACATATATAGTCTAAAAAATGAATAACTTTGAATTTTGACCGTTATTTTTTACCAACATGGCAAATATAAAATCCCTCTATCAAAAAAGTTACTGATATTCTTTAAAATGAGTGCCTGAACGAATCAAATAGGTGACTCTTTTTACTTTCGTGAAATAGAAAAGGAAAATAATAAAACAAGTGACAGTTCTTCCCTTCTTGCAAAAATCAACGCAAAATGTCATAACTGACAAAAGTAAAATGTCATCAGCCTTTGACATTTCTAAATATCAGACCAATGCCGTCTCTAATAGAACAGCCTCGGAGCGAGATTTATGACGTCACGCTAGTTAGATACCACGGATTAATAAATATGTTGTAGAATACATGGAAAACATAAATATTCCTCGTATTTTTGGTTTGTATTTTAAAAATGATATAGTTTGAATGAAATATACATAATATACAGTTAATAAATACAATATATATATATATATATATATATATATATATATATATATATATATATATATATATATATATATATATATATATGCTATATATATATATATATATATATATATATAATATATATATATATATATATATATATATATATATATATATATATATATATATATATATATATATATATATATATATATATATATATATATATATATATATATATATATATATATATATATATATATATATATATATATATATATATATATATATATATATACCTATTTATAGTAATAAATACTTTGGCAAATAAACTATGAACCATACAAATGCAGCAAATGTTTTACAATACACAAATAATGAATAGGTACATAAGATAATGGGTAAAATGTAAAATATATTTTAAATTTTGGGGTTTGAAAATCGATCTAATTTAACAAACAACATTCAATATCTACTAATAGTAATATATTATTATTTGCATTCACAAAATTTATATGTATATTTTGAAAGCATCAATGTTCGAAAAATTATATTTGCAAATAATACAATATCATAGAAAAAAAGGCGTCAGCGATGGCTATTAAATAAAGATCGCTGTCATTTTATATGTAAAAGTATTTTAAAATTTTTGATTTTCTTGGGATTTAGGTTCGGGAAAAACGCTGATTAAGTTTTAATTTGGTTTTTCATTATATTATATAGCTAACGTTTATAGCCTTCATCAGTGTTGTGTCATATGAAAAAAATAGTGTCGAATATAATTCAAAAAATTACATAGATAGATAGATAGATAGATAAATCTTTATTAGTTCCAAGTAATACAATTACATAAATTGACCCAAGATGGGTGTGGAACATGTTAACAAAAAACTCAAGATACTAAAACACTCAAATACTACTAAATGTATCGTAATATAAACATGATTCCTAAAACACTTTTCTGAAGAGTCTTTATACTGTATTACATAACTATAATTTACTAGTTTCAATATTTATATAATTTTAACAAGAAAATAAATTGAAAACACAATAATACTTACTACAAATAATATTAAATGCTATATTAACAGCTTACCCTTGTCTGCATAGAATTCATCTAGCGTATAAAATGCCTTGTCTAATAGATAATTTTTTAGGGTTAACAGTAATCTTGGTCTAGGTAAATCAGTAACTGAGAGTGGGAAAGTATTATATAACTTTACAATGCTGTGCTTCACATTCTTCTGCACATACGTGTAGTTGCTCTTGTTGGTTTGTTAACATATCTCTATTTCTAGTAGAGTATTGATGTTTTAACTCTGGTTCTTTAAAGAGACTTTTATTGTCGTAAACAAATACTACCGAATCCAGAATATACATAGAGATTATTGTTAGCATTTTCTTTTGTATGAAAAATTTGCGACAACTTTCACGATAACTTAATTTGAAAATGTTTCGAATACAGCGCTTCTGTACAATCATTATCCTATTAACATCCGATGAGTTCCCCCAGAAGATCAAGCCATAGCGTATTACAGAGTTTATGTAGGCATAATATGCTGTTATTGCAACGTCTTCAGATATATTTTCAGAGATAATTTTCATTGCGTAACTAAAACGAGCTATATTAGAAACAACACATGCTATGTGATATTTCCAATCTAACCTTCTATCTACATTAATTCCCAGAAGTGATACATTTTCGGCAGAAACAATTTCGTTGTCATTATAGAGCAATTTAATAATCTCCCTTGTTCTGTTTCCGAATAATAATAGCTGTGTTTTTGAAACATTCAGTAAAAGGTCATTAGCCAAAAAGTAATCATTTAGGATTTCCAAAGTATTAACAGCCTTTAACTCCAGTTCATAATTATCTTTCTCACTAAAAACGATGTTTGCATCATCGGCATAAAGTGTAATATATTCAGAGGATACCAGTGGGAGTTCGTTAGTATATACTATATATAAAAAAAATATACGAGGTATAATTATGTTTTCCGTGTATTCTACAACATAATTAATCCGTAGTATCTAACTAGCGTGACGTCACAAATTTCGCTCTGAGGCTGTTCTATTAGAGACGGCATTGCATCAGCATGGCGGCAAGTTGCTAACCTAATAAAATTTACACTAGAAAAGCCCGCGGGAACTGTCAAATTCAAAGTTATTCGTTTCACAGACTATAGTATACCTAATCTGTGGTAAAAGTGACTATAAATACGACATATTTTAAAGGCAAAAAAATGTCGACATATTCACCAGGGACGTGCATATGGGTTATCACTGGAATATTGTTCTAAAAAAAAGCATGAACGCCACTGACTTTTTTTTCTTTTGTTAGCGATATAGTGTGAGCAGTTTAATGCCGATTATAAATTGTCTCTTGATATTTTGTCAATTTCGGCCTGATGAGATAAACGCAATTTTATTAATTTACCTTAACCCAAGTCTAATAGCAACCTTTAAAAAATTCTGATATCATTAACTTGGGAGAGTTTTAAATAGGTACTCATTGATTCCTCATCAAAAAATATGAAAAAAAAGTTCCTATAAACATGGGTATGGAAATGCATAGTTTTAGAATTACAGGATGTTAAATATTTTTAAAACTAGGTTTTTTGTAGGTAATTATTGTCTTAAATACCATTATTTTTTTTTTTAATTTAAAATTGCCGTAGGTTGGACTAATAGTAATAGTAACTATAGTCTATAAAATGAATAACTTTGAATTTTGACCGTTATTTTTTACCAACATGTCAAATATAAAATCCCTCTGTCAAAAAAGTTACTGATATTCTTTAAATTGAGTGCCTGAACGAATCAGATAGGTAACTCTTTTTACTTTCATGAAATAGAAAAGGAAAATAATAAAACAAGTGACAGTTCTTCCTCTTCTTGCAAAAATCAACACGAAATGTCATAATTGACAAAAGTAAAATGTCATCAGCTTTTGACACTTCTAAATATTAGACCAATGCCGTCTCTAATAGAACAGCCACGGGAGCGAGATTTATGACGTCACGCTAGTTAGATACTACGGATTAATAAATATGTTGTAGAATACATGGAAAACATAATTATTCCTCGTATTTTTGTTTGTATTTTAAAAATGATATAGTTTACATGAAATATACATAATATACAGTTAATAAATACAATATAATATACTTAGATTAAGAAGATAATATATACCTATTTATAGTAATAAATACTTTGGCAAATAAACTATGAACCATACAAATGCAGCAAATGTTTTACAATATACAAATAATGTGGTACATAAGATAATGCGTAACATGTAAAATATATTTTTAAATTTTGGGGTTTGAAAATCGATCTAATTTAACAAAAAACATTCAATATCTACTAATAGTGATGTATTATTATTTGCATTCACAACATTTATTTATATATTATAATGTTTACTGCAATTAATAAACTAATATAAACTTGTCAAAAGATGACCACATATTTTTTTAAATTATTATTCTTAACACAAAAACTTTCTACACTGACTATGGAGTACGATTTCAGCCATATTTTAAAACATTTGCTGCATTTGTATGGTTCATAGTTTATTTGCCAAAGTATTTATTACTATAAATAGGTATATATATTGTATTTATTAACTCTATATTATGTATATTTCATGTAAACTATTTCATTTTTAAAATACAAACGAGGAATAATTATGTTTTCCACGTATTCTACAACATATTTATTAATCCGTAATATCTAACTAGCGTGACGTCATAAATCTCGCTCTGAGGCTGTTCTATTAGAGACGGCATTGCGTCAGCATGGCCGCAAGTTGCTAACCTAATAAAATTAACACTAGAAAAACCCGCGGGAACTGTCAAATTCAAAGTAATTCGTTTTACGGACTATAACAGTTATAATATTTAATAATAAATAAGATAAAATATTTAATTTATTAATTTTATTTTTATTTTAATGTTGCTGGTGATTAATAAAATTGCGGTTATCTCATCAAAAAAGCCGAATTCAAAAAAATATCAAGACATAACTTTTAATCGGCATCAAACGGCCTAAAAAATTTGATATCAAAAGGAAAAGTCAGTGGCGCACGTTTTTTTTTTTGAAAAATATTCCAGTGATAACCCATATCAACCCATATGCACGTCCTTGATGAATTTATCGACATAAAATATGTAGCACTTATAGTAACTTTTATCCTCAAAATTTCATTCAAATCACTAAAGGTACTAGGAAGAAAATTATAATAAATCGAAAAATACGGCTTGAACACCCTGTAGCTACGAAACAAAGCAGAATCGGACCTATGTCGATATGAAAAATAAATCTTATTTTTACTTGAGTAATCTCCCAATGAGAGATGGCACATGTTTTTTGAAACACCCTGTATAATAAAAATGAACATAAACTAGTTAAATATAATGGCCTTCATAGTGATAATGTATTAAGAAAAACTCAAAACAGTGGAGTGGTGTTACAGGAATTATGAAAGAATATATTAATTTCTCTATAGCCTTATTTTATTTGCACAAAATTCTTTAACGAACATATATATCTACTTTTTCCCTAATATACTAAACTTATGAATGATATTGACTAATATTAACTAAATTATAAATTAGGCCTTACTTTAATCCCTCTTACACAAATATGTAAAGAAAACAATATTTATATTATATACCACATAAAACGTATTTAAGATTTCAACCAAAATTTACTACTATGTTTACCTTTACTGACTTTTTGACCTTTCTTTCCTTTGTCTCCCGTTGCTGAAGCCTCTCTACTATCAACAAGCATAACTTCATCGGTCCCATCAGATCGTTCTTGCAACTGTGTCTTTAAAGTCTTTTTAATATTAACAATCTAAAATAATTATTTTTAACATGATATACATATTTTTCTACAAAATCCTTGCTTACCTCTTGTTCAATTTCCATTTGACGTAATGTAGCGGTATTCTTCTCACAGTTAGCTCTACATATCTGCGTCTCTACACAGCTTAGAACTTTCTCACACGCAGAACACCAATCTTGTAAACAGTTTACAATGATATTGATATCTTCTGGACGAATATCCCTGCCTATAGCATAATCAACCTCCAGCTGGCTGTTTTTCTGATCTAATTTTCCATGAATAATGTCTTGAAATAAACAAATAAAATTCAAAAAGTTAACAAATAAGATTCAATTTTATATTATAAAGCTTACCAGCATATATTGCTTCTATAATTAAATCTTCTAAATCTCGTACATTTTTAATTTCTAATTCTTGAAGTAAAGTTGTGTATGGTATGCACTAAAAATTTATATATTGGAGCCCAGTAATGACTGTACACAACTTTCTATGACATATAAAAAGTAATTTCTTAGATAGAAAAGCATTTCAGAACAAACTTCTGATAGATTAAAAAAGTTTGAAGACGAATTTTCTTAAATACCAAAATAAATGATAAGATAAACAGATTTTGAATATAATGAAATAAATAAGTATACCTTCGATTTAGTTGCCAAAGTAACAATAGTCAGATGCTGTAATTTCTTCTTCTGGGCTGCTGTCAGTTCAATAAATTGCTTTTGATTGCTAGCGTAATCCTTGTACGTACCATATGCAAACAGGTTCAAAGTATTGAAATATGGCGCGTGTGTATTAGCAAGCTAAAACAAAAATACAATAAAGACACTATTTTACCAAAAACTGAATACACTAAAACCTCCAGCACGTTGGGACTGTCCATGAGTTCACCAAATACATAGACACCAGAAGACTCAAGAGCCTGCTTTACTAGTTCTGTACAAGCAGCCCCTTTAGCAGTTTTAGCTAATATAACAAACTGCTCTAAAGCACTGGAAAAAGTTGTATTTTTATCTACAACCATTTTAATATTAATATCAGTTGTAATATTACTTTTTCAATATTTAATTTTTTTTATGATGAATAATGAAATGAATGTCAAATTTGTGAGGTTAAGACCAAAACTTCTTCTTTTAAAATTTTGACTGGCTCGGAGTGCTCGAGTTTCAAGGTGTAAGCAAAATACATTAATTAAAACGTATTTTTTTAACATAATTTTTTGTATAATAGTACACGAGTTACTAGCAAACATGAACACTAAATAATCTAAATATTAATATAAGTTATTTAATTAAAATTAATTTGTTCACTTTCTTGCATACAAACTAAATTTTCAGCTTGCTGCCATACTTTCAAGCTATATTCACAGTTGTTTACAATTTTTGGTTGACAGCTGGCTTGATAGTTATAAAAATATTTTCCGGTTGTTTTTTCTAAAGTATTAGAATATGCTAGAAATGTAATTAAACTTGCTGATCTTACCACATCCTAAAAATTTACTATGTAATCGTCAACAAAAGTTATGTTGTATTGTCATTTACCTGTGTAGTAAGTTTGATTAATGGAGATAAAATTTTATAACAAATATCTGTATGTTGTTTATTCTTGTAAAGAAAATTTGTAGTGGTCATTCCAGGATGCAAGCAATTTGATGTTACGTTAAATTTCTGTAGTCTTTTTGAAAACTCGTGTGATATAATCATGTTGCATAGTTTAGAATTATAATAGGTAAATAGAGATGAGAGAAACTTGGGATATTTGCATTGATTTTGTTTGACTGTATCAACTGGAAGTGTTTTTGTGTTAAGATTATGAAGAAAAGCTCCTGACGATGTCACAAATATTATTCTACTAGGACTGGATTTCTTTAATAGGTCTGAAAGGTAAATAAATATAACAATAATTATAAATGAGTATGTCTCTATATTGAAAAATACCAGTTAGTAGACAGGTCAGCAAAAAAGGTCCCAAATGATTTACTTGCATAACAGGATCCAAGGAATCGTCAGTTTTAACTACATTAGCTTCAAAAATTCCAGCATTATTTATAAGAACATGTAGATATTTTTCTTCGTTTATGATTTCACAAGCAAGCCTTCTTACAGACTTAAAAGAACTTAAATCAAAATATTTTGTTTCAATCCTGTCGTTCTTGGTTTGCTTTATTATCTCTCTCCTTGCACATTGGAGATCTTGATTGTCTGCCATTATAACTCTCCAATTTCGAGCAGCAAGTTGTAAAGCTGTTTGAAATCCTATACCTGTTATAGGTACATATATGTTCTTATAAAATATGTTTAAGCAGGTAACTTCGTTTTTCTTACCTTCTTTTGATCCAGTTACTAAAGCTACTCTATATTTTGACATTATAATTATTTTTTTTTTGACGATTAATATGTTAAAACTTAATTTGTTAATCTTTTTTGCTGAAGTTTTTTAATATAGTTTCAACTTTTTCATCAGGTGTCAAATTGATAGATTTTTCACTTAATGTCCAAATTTCTTCACATTTTTTAGTGTCATATATTATTTTTGGTTGCCAGACTGGTCTGCATTCCATGAAAAACTTTCCTGATAAATGTTCAACCTCATCAGATGTTACTAAATGCAACACTGTTTGTATTCCTTCATCTGTATCCTAACAAAGCAACTATTTATTAAGTGATAATGTAATAGAATGTTTTACCTGTTGTTCATACTTTGCCAAAACATATAGCCCACAATTTTACAGTATAAGCATACAGCGACCGCAGATCATGAGGAAATTGTAGAACATTCCAAATATTAGTTTTAACAATCCCAGGATGGTAAGCATTACATGTTACATTAGTTTCTTTCAGTTTTCTGGATAAAATTTCGACATAACAGCACCAGCTGCCTTGGAATTTACATAAAACAAGACATTTTGAACTCCGGGCTTGATTTTATTATGTACCAGAGGTTTCTTCAATAAAGTCGTTTGGTAAGCTGCCAGAGAACTAGTATAGATTATTCGACTAGGTCCCGATTTTAAGAGTAGATCTGGAAAAATACATAGAAATCTATAGTAATATTCGAGTATTTTATGTCTTCAGATGATAGATGGCAGCAGTTATGCTTTAAACATGTTTATCTTGTTGCCTATATAACAATGACCAATTTTATCCTAATCACAGTATCTGTGTCCTAATCATTTAACTAAAATTTCCTCTCAATCATGAAACATAACATGTTTATTTTTTCTCGTTAAAGACATGTATTGACTAATTTTATTCTAAGTATCTGGAGAACGGTTCCTCAGCGATTTTTATCAAGACACTTTTTTACGTAAACACATACGATAAACGAAACAAGTTTAGATTGGGAAGTGCCCATAAGGACAAACACTATTTGGCGCTATTCTTACAACAGTTGCGATCCAAAGCTTTTGATAATTTCGGATCGACTCGGCTTTTTCCGGAATTATGTCACCAAATATTGTTTATTCAAATTTATTATTATTTTCTTTTAATTTTATAAATAAAATACAGTGTGTTGCATACAAGAAATTTTATTTTATATAAGGAGATGTATGAAATACCTAAGAAACATTGGAAACCGACGTTATGTCACGATCCATGATGGTTTTTGGTTTAATTTTTGAAGATTCTGACTTTGACAAGAGAAAATTATATCTGTTATTGTTTGCGGTTGTTCTTAGCAACCGCTATAGCAGCGCCAGATCGCGTACGGCGGTCGCGACCCAAGACAATTATATATTTTGACGGGCATTCCAATCTAAATTTATTTTCTTTATCTATGGCCTGTCCCTTTTGAAAAAGAAGACTAAGGAAGGAGCATAAAACTTAATTCCAGTGCTGTGGTGTTTCAAGTCATATAATAATCAATATATAATCTGTTGTAATTTGTTGTTTTAACCGTCAAAGTCTTGTCAAAACATATATTTGTTTATAAATATAAAATCTTTGAATAAGAAGACTAAGGAAGGAGCATATCAAAAATCTTAGGTACACCGCGATAGGCCTCAAATATGGCCGACTTAAATTCCGGTTTATCAGTGTCGTCCTAATTTTATTTAAAAAATGTAAAACTATGATGTAGGGTAGACGTGGGGTAGACTCAATAATTTGTTGTTTTATTTTACGTTGTGAATAAATGTTGGTAGTTATTAAAATTGTTATAAAAATATATAATTCTAATAAAAATAGATAAGTTATAATAAGTATTTATTAACACAAACATCCGATACGCTACTGAAGCAGTAAGTCAAATTAACGTATCTAAATTCTTTGACATCTAATCTTTGACAAGTAATAAATTAAAGCTAAAATGCAAGAAAAATATATAATTTAGTTAATTTAAGTGAATTTCATAAATGATCGGTTTACTACACGTATGTATATTATATAGTCACTTACTAGCGAAAAGTTGTTCCATTATTTCACTCAATTTTTGCGGAGATCTACCGCACGCTACACAACCAACTATTTTAGAGTCTTCTTCGATAAATCGCGATAGTGTCACTGTTAATTTAAGTTCTGCCACAATTTCCATCTAGATTTACTACCTTTATACAACTATCAGTAGTAGAATAAATAATAAATAACATAAAATAAGCTTCGTAGAGACTGACAAATCCACAAAATTTCAAATCAAATTCAAATGTGTCAAATGAATCGTCAAACAGAACTGTCAAGGATCCCTACCCTAGAGTGCTTTTTCAGCCCACCATACATGAACACATGGATAGCATTATGCTCCTTCCTTAGTCTTCTTATTCAAAGGCCTGTCCAGTAAGATGATACATGAGAGTGACAGTTGTTTCTGCCATTTTAGTTCAGAGGTAGATTATTATTTCTAGATATCGTCTGTCAAAATATTACCTGACTCGTTGGATGCTCGTTGGTCAGACGTTAGCTATGATCAAGGACTGTATATATTCTAAAGGACTGTTCGATCGCGTCAAATGGCCGCTGTCGTAGTCGCCGTAGAATGCTATGTCACGCGCTGACCAGCGCTCCACAGTGCGTCGGATGGTTATTCTAGCGGGACAAAATCTCAAGAGCAATGTTTGGAACTTAAAATCTAAGAACGTAGCAAATGTTCTAATATATAGCAACTACATATATGGTTAAATTTATTTATTTATTAACAACTTAATTTATTCATAAATACAAGATAATAAAACTATGATATTATTCGTACGTGACACACAAAAACCGTATTGTAAACTATTGCCAAATACATAAAATTATCATATCAAAAAACTCTTTAGCAGTTTTTTTTAATTAGTTTGTAATATTGTGACACCCTCTATAATTTATTTTAAAAAAATATATTTTATTTTGAAAATAATAAATAAGATAGATATTTTAATTTTAACACTCGGTAATTGTAAATTCATATACAGGGTGTCCCAGAAATGAGTGCAGATATTTTAAGGGGTGGTAGATCTGGCCAAAAGAAACATATTTTCTCTTTACCATTTTTAAAATAGATTGAAAATAACCGAGTTATTTAACTTTGAAAGTTTAAAAAAAAAATTGCGACATTTTGAGAGCCGCCGGGGAATCTCGCGGATCCCCGGCGCGGGGGAGAGATCTCGCGGATCTCGGCTTGTTCGCCGCCCGCTGTTGCCACATCGACTAGAAAGACTTAAAAAGTACTTGCAAAATCCCACACCATCCAAGAGGTTCTGCAGAGGTGCGTTACTTTTTTTAAGTGGGTGATCGCCAGTAGCCCTACTTTCCACATTACACAAAATAAACTAAAAGAAAAAAAACTTACCAAACAATAAAAAAAGATATCCCTATAGCAGAGAGATACAACTGCAGAGCTTTCTTTTTTTCCATTTTACCACTCTTAAAACTGCACATAACACTACACTTAATAACATCACTTCACTACAATTCTTAACAACACTATGCAAATTTTCAACTGTGGAAATATTGGCTCCCCTATTAATTTTAGAGCTAAATCGTAAATGGTTTTTAAAGATACATTACAAATTTGCACAAGGGGATCCAATATCTCGACAGTTCAAAATTTGCATGGGATATCCTATATTTCCAACGATGATGCACCACCCGGTATACCCTTGCTTCTTGACTGCATGCTATTATAATAATTGTTCAAAATGACGACCTCCATTTCCAATACA